TCCCAGCTGAGAAGGTGTTCATTCTTGGGCATTGCTCAATGACCACTTCTTTTAACAACGGAAATTTTAAGAAGTAATTGGAGAAGCAAAACCTTTTGATCATTGGCAGACACTCAAGCTCCAAAATTTGTAAGCAGCTGAATGCAATTTCATCTTCAGACCCCTCCTTCTCTTCTACAGCCACAATTTGCTCAAGTGAATTGCAATTCTTTATTTTCAATATCGATAATTTGGCCAGACTTCTTGCGGTTGATGAGGTAATCAAGTGAATCAATCCATTGCAATTTTCCACTTCCAAATTTGTCAACTGACTAAAAGTTACCGAGGAAGGCACTAAGTGTTTCAATTTGGAACATTGATCCACATCTAAGGTTTCAAGTACCTCAAGAACTGGGTCTATTTGAAATCCTTCTTTACATATATGCTGGAGTTCATGTAAATTATTGAGTGTCAAAACTTTAAGTCGTGCTCCTGTTTTAAATTTTCCTTTGTGATCTATAGGAATTTCTTCTCGAAATATCTCCTTGAAAGAACTCCATTCAACAAGTAGCCTATCGAGAGTGGTGATGTTTTGGAGAAACCAATGCGGAAAAATGACATGGTCATCAACAAAATTTATCAAACAAAGAAATTTGAGTTTGCTGAAGTGTTCCCCTGAAAATTGCCCTCGTGATATCATGCTTGCATCCTCACTATTTAGCGCCAATCTCTCTAAGTTGCAAATCACCTATGTACAGCATAGATAGAAAGCGTTGATAAACTATTTTGTACACAGCAGCATAAAAGAAATAAAATAATGAGGCAGGAAGAAAGTGATGAATAGCATAAATAATCAAGCCTGATTTTTTTTTTTTTTTGCACAATATAGAAAATTATTATGAAACGAGGCATGCATTGAGATACATTTATGGTGTCTGAACAAATTAAGATTTTTTTTCCTATAATTATTGCTATACCTCTTCGAGTGTGAAAAGAGACTGCGGTATTGAGATGTGGAGTTTACTATCAAAAAGTCTTTCTTGGCTGCTTGTACTTTGAGTCTTGAAGAGCTTCAATTTCACACAATAGCAGACGTCTAATTCCCTCAATAATGGACATAGTACACTGTGATTTCCAGCAAAAAATCCCTCCAGTTCATATAAAACCCAAAGCACCAATGAGGTCAAGCGATTAAACTCAAATTTAATAGGACTGTCAATGAGGCCTTCTTTGCCTGAAACAATTACTTTCATCTTCCCTGCATTCTTTATGGTAATGCGTTCAAGTCGAGTAGCTTGCATTGCAATAGAGAGTGGAAAAAGGTATTCCATGGTCTCACAGTCTTCAACACACACAAGCTGCAAACTGGGGAAACGTACCTGCCATTTATTGGAATAAGGCAAGTCAAACACAGACATGATATGTCATGAAACATGACCAATTATGATAATTCAGTAATACTAACTTGACCTGCGAATGATGAATCAAGAAGTTAAATCTTTAAATCTTAAAATATGTACAACAACGCGCAGCAAGATTGTTATGATTTATAAATCTCCCTGTTTAGCAAGCTTTAAGTATTCTGGCGGAAAAAAAAAAAGGTTCCGATTGTCTAGGAAGTCTTTAAAAATTAGTGGCTAAAGTATATGTTTGGCGTTTTATATTTATACCATGTTTTATTCTTTTTTTTTTTTTAGCTGAATAGTGCTATATTTTTATTTCAGAATCAAGTAAAAAGGCTTACAAACACCAAAAGAAACTAACAAGACAGAAAAGAAAAGAATAAAGCAAAGCAACACATCAACCAAAAAACAAAACCAACACAATCAACCAAAGAAAAATCACACAGCAGGCAACGGCCAAGACACGGAAAAAGCAGCAGCACAACCAATTCCTATTCTTTCTCCCACATCAGCAACGGAAGACAGTTCAGCACCACGGAGTTCTTTCTGCAGAAAGGTCAACAAGGAGGATGGTGGCCAACTCAGCCATCCATTTGGTACCATACCTCCCATAGCACAAGCTGCCATGTGATCTGCAGCTTCATTCCCTAATCTGGCCACCAAGGACACACCAATTCCTCAAAGAACCTCTCAACGTGTTTTATTTTAGTCTCTTAAGTTTACAAAGTGCATTTTTAATCCCTCAATCTTAACATCTTTAGTTTCACTTAATGGAAAATGTTGATTCATTAAACTTAGCGATGACTACGTAATTAAACACCAACAGAAATGACAGGATTTTAATGTTTTTAATATAATATTATTGTATATTGTCAAAAAGTAATATTTTTATATCTAAATTAAAATTAACCGGCCAAAAACCATAAAAATATTATGTTTTTCAACATAAAATATTATATTTTTGCCTCATTTATTTTTATTTTAATTTTAATTTAAAAATGTTAATTGTTTTCAAAATAAAAATATTAGATTAAAAATATTAAAATGTAGGTATGTTCTGTCAACATTTAATTTTATAGTCTTCACTTAAGTTTGATAGATCAACATTTATTGATGGATCAGCATTTTCCGTTAAATTAAATAACGGGTTAATGTGTAAATTTTCCTACAAGTTTTTACTCAAGATTGTGAGATACTCACAAGTTTTTTTAGGTATAAATTTGCCTTGAAAGTTTCAAATAGTAGAAATATTACCCCTTTTTATTACAACATTAACGTTGACCGTTAAAATAGTGATATGATCGTTAACATTTTTAACTATAAGTAGTAATATTGCTACAATTTTAAACTTTTCAGACAAATTTAAATACAAAAAAACTCACCAGAAAGAAAACCTTCAAAATAAATTTGTACCTTAATCCTAAAACTAATGGCGTTAAGATTGTTGAACTACAAATGCATTTTATAAACTTAAGAGACCAAAAAAAACCTAATGTAAACATAAAGGAGAAACATATAGTTTAGCCAAATTAAAACAAATGAAAGTTTTTATTTGATATGCGTGTCTTAAATAAAATTTGAGCAATATTTTTTACTTTTTTTCCATCTCACATGAATCAAAACAGAATATTTATAAATACAATATGGAAAAAAAAACAAAAGCATATATACTGCATACAGAAGCATTAAGGCTAGGAAGAACTTAGAAGGCACCAAGGCTACGAAACGAGGCAATGAATTCAGCACTAGAAAAAACGTACAATTATTATTTCTCACACACACACACACACCAAATCCTTGTGGCTAACGCTATATTATCATATTTTTATTGGATCCTCTGAATCTGCCTTTTTTTTATTGAGTAAATATGATAGAAATAAATATTAAACCTATGCTACATATGTTCAAAACATAACGCAAACTATAGTTAAGCAGCAAGTCTTTTATCATACCTGTTGAACGGAACATGCTGGACGGTGGCGCTGGATATGACCTTCTGTTGTTTCTCTAAAACTGACAGTTTCTTGGAAGTTCTGTTTCCATATGTGTTTGAGCTTAGGTAGACTAGAGAGAGTTATTCTCTTCAGTGGAATGGTCTCCTTAACAAAGACTTCCTTTCGATCCATGTTGGTTAAATCAAACACAGCTTCCAATGAATCACATTCACTTACTTGAAGCTCTTCTAAGTTGGATAGCGCTTGCACCAAATTTAAAGGCAGCAGCACATCGGATAAAAAGTCACATTTATGTACTAATAAAGTTCTCAAATTATCAAACACTCCAGGTTGAACATGGTTGTACCACAATCCTCTTAACTCAGCAAACTGAGACAGCTCTAAATGCTTATAATTATGGAATGCCACCTGCAAAAATTGAGGTGCAGGGTCAGTAGAAAGAAATAAAGGCATAAATAAAGCAAACTAAACAGAAGGCTTTTTTAAATGTTTGTCCATAAAATTTTGCCATTGTAAGTCAGAAAAAGTTTGTAATTATATGTAGAGAATGATCTTCTTCCTCTTGTCTATCAGAAATTTTCTAGTCAAATTCAAAACGTACCATATCCACAAACATCTTGTTTACTGTTCTGTTTATGTCACCTTCCCAATACATCTTTTCATCTTCTTCCTTTGACAGTATCTCATGAAGCATTGGGGTGCTTGTGTCTCCCTCAGAGAAGACCCTCATTCTTGGGCATTGCTTAACAACAACATTCACCAACAATGGAAGGTTCAGCACACAATTACTAGAGCAGAACCTTTTGATCATTGGCAGACACTCAAGCTCCAAAATTTGTAAGCTGCTCAATGCAGTTTCATCTTGAGACCCCTCCTTCTCTTCTGCCGCCACAATTTGCTCAAGTGAATTGCAGTTCTTTATTGTCATTGTTGATAATTTGACCAGACTTCTTGCGGTTGATGAGGTAATCAAGTAAATCAATCCATTGCAATTTTCCACTTCCAAATATGTCAACTGACTAAAAGTTACGGAGGACGGCACTAAGTGTTTCAATTTGGAACATTGACCCACATATAAGATTTCAAGAACCTCAAGAACTGGGTCTATTTGAAATCCTTCTTTACATATATGCTGTAGTTCATGTAAATTATTGAGTGTCAAAACTTTAAGTCGTGCTCCTGTTTTAAATTTTCCTTTGTGATCTATAGGAATTTCTTCTCGAAATATCTCCTTGAAAGAACTCCATTCAACAAGTAGCCTATCGAGAGTGGTGATGTTTTGGAGAAACCAATACGGAAAACTAACATGGTCATCATCACAATTTACCAAATAAAGAAATTTGAGTTTGCTGAAGTGTTCCCATGAAAATTGCCCTCGTAATATCATGCTTGCATCCTCACTATTTAGCGCCAATCTCTCCAAGTTGCAAATCACCTATGTACAGCATAGATAGAAATCGTTGATCAACTATTTTGTACACAGCAACATAAAAGAAATAAAATAGTGAAGCAGGAAGCAATTAAGTGATACATAGCAAAAAAATCAAAGATGACTATGTTTTTTTTTTGGCAAAATACAAAAAATTATTATGAAACGAGGCATGCATTGAGATATATTTATGGTGTCTAAATAAATTAAGTTTTTTTTTTCCTACAATTATTGTTATACCTCTTCAAATGTGAAAAGAGACTGCTGCATTGAGATGTGGAGTTCACTATCAAAAAGTCTTTCTTGGCCACTTGTACTTTGAGTCTTGAAGAGCTTCAATTTCACACAAAGGCGGACATCTAATTCCCTTAATACTGGACATAGTACACCATGATTTCCAGCAAAAAATCCCTCCAGTTCATATAAATTCCAAAGCACCAATGAGGTCAAGTGGTTAAACTCAAATTTAATAGGACTGTCCATGAGGCCTTCTTTGCCTGAAACAATTACTTTCATCCTCCCTGCATACTTTATGGTAATACGTTCAAGTCGAGTAGCTTGCATTGCAATGGAGAGTGGAAAGAGGTATTCCATGGTCTCACAGTCTTCAACACACACAAGTTGCAAATTATGGAAACGGAGGTTTGCTTCAGCATCTCTATTCCAAATCTGCTTCAGCTTTGGCAAGTAAAACAGATGGAGTTTCTTCAATTGTGAGACTTGTGTCATGATTTCGTCTTCCTTACGGATTTCTTTGACACTTAGTTCGAATATCTCTTCCACTGAACCACAATTGCTGACATTCAATGTCTCAAGGCTTCCAAACGTTCCCTGCATACCAGATGGGAAAATATTCGCAAGTTTCCCACAATTGCTCACCTCCAAACTCTTTAACCTTTCAAATTGAAAGTGCCATACTTTCTTCAAGCTCTCCATGTCTTTGACTACCATCGTCTCCAATTTTGAGAACCCGACCTGTGATACAAAGCACGATTTAACATCATATCTGAATGATATTGAACGGAACCACACAAGGGCAAATGTTTGATGTTATGTACTTAACATTTATTTCAAGTCTAATCGTAATACCTCTTGTGAAATAATGCCGCTCGGAGCAATGATCTCCTCCATCATCTCACATTTGCTTATTTCAAGGTGTTTAAGTTTTAAAAGACTTCCAATCACAGAAGATGAGAATAGATACTTGAGGCCTCTGCAATCCTCAACTATCAAGTTAGCCAAATTGTGAACGCAATTCACTGCAGAAAGGTCATCATCATCCCAAATTTTTTCCATTTTGATTGAACTCAACTTCAGGGTCTCCAAACTAGAAAAACTAACCTGTGAAAAAAAATTTGTTATTTTCAACTTGGTAAATATGAAAAAAGGAAAAATGACCAAAAAAAACTAAAAACTACTAAATTTCAAATAAGAAATGTTAACCAAAATTTATTTTTATTTACAAGTTTAATATTGTCAGCATCAAATAAAGTGTTGTTACCAAATTTGATTTGAAATTTCGTAATTTTCAACTTTTTTTATTATTATTCTATAAAAAAATGGAAAGATGATAATTTATCCAAACTAAGACATTGATAATTTGGTATCGTGAATCTAATAAATTATAAATAAGTCTAAGAGAATTTGAGTATCATTTTTATGACTTGTAAAATTTCTAATTTGTCCATCTTAGCCGTACCTTTAGCTGTTGATTGGAAGACCAATCGGACTGTTATCACCAGTACCATATTACAAATTATTAATATTTCAATAATATTTTATTAAAATACTTTTATTTGAATATATTTCTCTATAATAATTTTCAAGTCTACATCTGCTATTTAAAGATAAAACTTTGTAGTTCATCATCCAACCTATTTTTTTTCATATTCAAATTTTACAAATTTATTTAAAACTTTTATCCCCTATTCTACAAATTATTTCTTTAAAATTTATGACTGTTTGCTATTTCTACCGCATAAATTTCTTGCAAAATCTTTAAAATGTGTACTTTTATAGGTTTTTCCAATGTTGCAAGTTGACTGTTTGGAATTGAAAAATTTGCACTCTGTAGAAATTAATTTTAAAATGCGGTATAATATAAATATGTTTTATAAGTAAATGCATTTTTACAAAATTACTCTATAAGTCGTTTATTATAAGAAACAACTACTAAAATTACGTAGTTTAAAATGTTAATTAAATTTAGTTAAAAACAAGAAATGTGTAAGATATATGCATATTTTTCTAATTATATCTTTATTTGTAAAGAATATATATGAGAGATAATTAGTGAAAGTTTTTTACAATAAGCGGCATACATTTAATAAGGGTAAAAGTGAAAAGACCTATTTAAAATTTTGGACAAAAATAACTTGTTTTTATATTTAAAAATAATATTATGAAAGAAATTGTTTTTTATGAAAAGGGGGCGGAGGGAGTATCATTTAAACAAGTAGGAAAATGGATTTGTTAAACAAGCTTCAGATCATGCATGTCGGCCAAGACAACGCTTGAGTATTAGTTTTTTTTTTTTTTTGGGGTCAAAGAGTATTAGTTTATTACTGTGACACTAGTTAAAACATTATAAATCTAAATTAAATAGCCCAACATATTAAGAAGCTTTCTTTGAAAATAAAAATAAAAAATGTAAACAACCAAAGAATTGTAATTTAAAGATATAAATTGCAGAAAAAGAAGCGGCCAAATTAAGACATAAGCTGTAAATAACGTATTGCTTGTAAATAACGGAGATGGACTTGTAAATTGTTACAGGAAAATATTATTAAAATAATCATATTTATTTCATAAAAGATATAATCATAGTTAAGTTAATAATTATTAAAATGTTGATAATAATTTTTTAATGCCTCACTGGTTCTAGACTTCTAGTACTAACAAGCTGGTCACCCGTCAATGGTTTTAGAAGAAACATGCAATAAAACAAATTTGTGGGACAAAATTTTGGTTTTCTCTAAAAATATACACAATAAAATTTTGTGAGCATCACAACAGATGTTGATAAATTCAATGAAACGATGAGTAATTTATATGATTAAAAATTTATACATTGCACCTCATTAGTCATTTTATAAAATATAGTTTATCCAAAAAATATCAATAATCTGACATTCTACTTTTAGATTTATGTACACACACATTCAAGTTCGTTTCAAAATTACCATGCATGATAATTGTGATAGTACTCACTTATGATTCAGTCATTTTATTTTTAAATTGCAAATAAGAGAATCATAAAACAAATAAAAAAAATACCTTAATGCCATCAAACAATGATGTCGCTGTCATAAAAGATGTCAAGTCCTCTGAGCAGAAATTATGAATGACTGGTAAATGACAGAGACTCAAAGAGTGTAGTGAATGAAACTCAATCTTGTTATCACTAGTTATTCCACCATCTTCATTTTCAATTAACACAATCCTCTTCATTGAACTACATTTCGAAACTTGGAGCTCAATAAGTTGAGAAAGTGCTTTCACCATTATAACAGAGAGGAGAAATGTCAGTTGATCACAACTTTGAACTTTGATGACTGTTACTTTGCCAAAGGAATTAACAGGAAGTGGGCCATGACATATCTTCATTAAGTTTTTGAGATTGTGAACTATCAACGTCTCCAATTCTGGAAATAAAACATGAGTTTCATCCCTCTTTGTTGTGTTGATAATATGTTGAAGTTGGCCATTATTTTGGATATGGAGATGCTTTAGTAGAGGAAATCCTTCGCCATTCAAATTAAAAAGCACATCCGAAATTCCTTTGACTTCATCTAGGTACAAATCTTCTGCTCGTTTAATCAATGCTTTAATTCCATGTTCTAAATGAATGCTAGTGTCAAGCTTTAGCTTTAGCAACCTTGAGATCCTTTTGTTGCTTGACCATTCCCATTTATCTCCAATGACAACCTTATATCTCTCCAACTTGTCAAATATCATGTCCCTCGACAACATCCAAAATTCACGAATTTGAATTTCTAAAGCTGTCAAACTTGTCAAACACCTAAGCTCAACAAGACTAGCACTTTTTTGTTTAGTTGAACTTTCCTCCTCCCACTTAATTGAGGCGTTGCCCATATAGAGTTCCTCTATTTTAGTCAACTTAGACAAAATATTGGGTGGGATGGTCTCAATTCTAGAATTTGTCAAATCCAACATTTTTATGTGAGTCAATTGTCCCATTTCACTGGGCAACTCCTTTATGAATGAATAAATGAGACTAAGAACTTCTAAATTTATCAAGTCACCTATTCCGGCCATATGTTTTAGAGTGCATTGATCCAAACATAATGTTTTAAGTTTGGTCAAGGAAAGAAGAGATATAGGCAGTGAAGACATCACCAAGCCTGTCAAATTTAATGCTTCAAGGCTCCTCATTCCCTCAAAAAAGGAGTCTGGAATTTCCAGAGTGCAATTATCAGTGCATTGTAAGTGAAAAAACTTCAAATTAGGGCACTCTAACTTTTGAGGAAGCTCTTGGATAAAATAATTTTCTAAGATTATTTGAGTACACCTTTCAAGAAATCCCTTGCTTGGCCAATCTTGCATCCTGTCATTTCTCAGCACAAAAACATGTTCATTCTTATAAGCAATTGAAACAGCTACTTCGCTAACAAGGTCATGCATTTTAATCACATTGGTCTCACTTGCATCATCCTCAAGTAACAAACAAGATGCCTTCAAGTCATCAATTATTTTATGTAGTCGGTTTCTTGCCTCTTCAAGGGTATCTATGTTCTTCAAAACACCCAAACCGATTACATATTTCAACAAGTCACTAACTGACACGGATGGTCCATGTACACCACAAAGCAAGAATACTTTCTTCACTCCATCATCTTCCAATCGATTGTAAGTAAATTCAAAAGCTGAAAAAACAGTCCCATACATGTCCCCTTTATCAACTCTCTTTAAGTTGTTCAAGGCATCTTTCCAATAATGAATATTCTTGTTATATTTTAATGACTTTGCAATTGAGACTATCATAACAGGCAGACCTGCACATCTTTCAACCACTTGAGTTGCTATCTCCTTCAATTCACCATCTTTAATAGTATCACCAACCATATCTTCAAACAAACTCCATGATTCAGTATTATTCAGTGCCTCAACAAAAAAGTTCTTTTGAGTCTCATTCTTCCGTAAAATATCTAAACGTCTAGAAGTCAGCAATAATTTGGAACCCTGATAAGTCTCATTCTTCTGTGGCATATCTGAACGTTTAGAAGTCAATGAAAGTTTTTCACCCTTAAGATCTTGCTCAGAGGGAATTCCCAACTTGCCCAAATCAATTTTCTCCCACAAGTCATCGAGTATGATAAGGATATTTTTCTCCATTTTGATCCTTGCACAGAGACGGTCAGCTCTTCCAATGGAGGTCTTCTCATCCAAGTGGAAGCCTAATTGATATGCAATCTCATCTTGAACTCTTTCAACATCCAAAGTTTGGGATACAGTTGCCATAGCCACCACATCAAACAGCCTGTCATCCTTAACATGTTTGGCAACTTCTTTAGCCAGAGTGGTCTTCCCCACTCCACCCCACCCATAAATTCCAACTTTGCTTACTTTTGGATCGGTTAGAGCCAAAATAACCTGCTCCTTCACTGAGTTTCTTGAGTCAAGCTTTTCATTGCCTGGAGTAGCAAAAATTAAGCTTCCTTTGCCAGGAGCAGGAACATGCCCAATTCCACGATCAAACGTCCCCTTTTCCTTCAGTTCAGCAATGGTGAATGTCATTTTCTTTGCTTTTCTACCAACTTGATGTCGTGATATCAAATTAGGAAAAGACAATTTCCAACACCGTACACTAGTATGAGTTTGATCTTCACGAAGCTTCTCGACTTCTTTCAAGGTCTCATCAACTCTTTCTTGCCAACTTACTACATCAACTTCAATCTCTTTTCCATTCCTTCTTTCTTCGTCAACACGATGCTCTATGCGAAGTTTTGTTGACCTCAACTCCTCAATTTTATCCTCCAGCTCCTTGTAATTTCCTTTGTAAGATAATAAATATCCCACTTGCCTACCAATGGGTATCACAGTTAACTCTGCTATTTTTCCAGCAATAGCAGTGAGAACTTCCATTCTTTTCTTCCTGAATAAAATGTTAAGAAATTTAGTCCTAAAATAAATAGAAGTCACGAGTATCCCACCCCCTTAAATAAAATAGGGGCGCATACCCAAACGACGCACATCTACGTATACAATTGCTCAACTTTAACTAATAAAACGCAGTATGATCAGTAGTATTTGTGTCTCTGCTTCCATCTCTTCTTGCTCATCGTTTCCAACTTGCTTTGAATTGTATACATGATCGGCCCAGAAAAACAACAAAGAAAGGCATCATGGGATTTTCTTTTCCTCCTTGTAATTAGAGAAAAAGACCAATAGCGAGTGATATTTATGGTAGAGGACCATAAAAATTAAAATTGTTTATAAGGACCAAATATTGAAACATAAATTTAAAAATATCACATTGTCCCTATCCAAACCTCCTACTTAAAAATATCACATTGTCCCTATCCAAACCTTCTACGTTTTCTCCTATATTCCCTCCTACAATTTATTTTGAAACTAATGCGAATCAACAAATTTTACTAAATTAAACCTGATTTCTCTCAAAGTTTTCAACCTACGTTAAATCAATTTAAAAAAATATGCAAACATTGTTTATTTATGTAAAAATTAAATTTTTATTTTCCTTATAAAAATTAATTTATTTTTAAAATTGAAAACAAAAATGATATAATTTTATTAAAATTTAATAAAATTTAGATTATTATCTAATTTATTATATACATGGTTTTAAAAAATCCAAAGAAAATTTTTATTACTTATATTTTTTATTTTATAAGAGATTTATATCAGATTTTAAAATAAAAAATACATGTAGTGTTAAGAAATTTAATGAAATCATTTTCTTTAAATTTTTAAATTTATTTATATAATAAATTATACAATAATCTAAATTTTAATAAAATTATATAACTTTTATTTTCAATGAAAGTCTGTGATGGTTTTATAAAGAAAATTTTAACTTTTGATAAAGAAAATAGAACCTTAATTTTTACATGATTGAACGATGTTTGAGTTTTTTTTTAATGGAGAGCCAAACGTCTTCAAGCATGCCAAAACAAGAACAAGCTAGCCGATCCTAAGTCTCAATTGTTTGATAACGAGAGTAGCCGGAGGCAACTAAAGAAGGATATGAGACAAAGCCCGCTAGAGGAAAGAAAATTTGAGAGAAACCATGTTTAATTTAGTGAAATTTATTAATTCACATTTGTTTTGAAATAAAATACAGGACAAAATATAGGAGAAAATGTAGGAGGCTTGAATAGAACTAATGTAGTATTTTTAAATTTATATTTGAATATTTGGTCCTTTTAAATAATTTTAATTTTTATGGTCCTCTCCCTTAAATATCATTCCCTATTGGTCTTTCTCTCTAATTCTCCCTCTCGTTTTTTTTGGTCTCCAATGAATGAGTAAAGCTGGCAATATAGGTTAAACCCACAGGTCCAACTTGTCAACCAGCCTTAAATAAATCTTTTGAACCCGCACAGCCAGGTCCGCAACCCGCGAGTTGACCTCCAAATTTTTTTTATTTTTAAAAATTTTTAAAATTATTATAACTATATTATTATATATTATATCCTATCTAAAAAAATACCTATATAATTTATTTGATACTTTAAATTGAATATTTTAACAAAAAATAAAGATATCTTTATTTTTTTTGGATATTGAATAAAAAAATATTAAAAGATTAAAAAAAATTTTAAAAAAGTACAATAATTGTTGGCGGGTTCGCGGGCCAACCCACCTTGTTCAGCCAACTTGTCTTCAAACAACACTTTCTAACTTGATTCATATGGGTTCAACCCGTCACAGATCAACCCGCAACCCGCGGGTTGACTCGTATTACCTCCCCTTGTTAGGTAGCAGAAAACATGGACATGCAAGAAAGAAATGGAACCAGAATTGTACTATCAGCCCACACTGCTTTTGGGCCAACATATTAGCCCACACTGAATTAGTCAAACATTTCGAAGGGGCTTAAACCCCCCAGAACATATGATTTGCTGCTTCAATAAGGCCTAAACAATTGATCCAAAATAAAATCAGGATCGAGGTGGGAAAAAAGGCCAACACAAAGTTTGCTGGGAGGCTCGTGGTGGGCCACGGGTTGCCAAGTGTGGATTAGACCCACACTTTTGCCAACCCAAACCTACGAACCTGCCCTTTTTTAAAATTCTCTTACATTTTAAAATATTCTATTTTAATTTTAAAAATTAAATTATAACTTTTTTATAGGCTAAATTTAAGTTGTTCTTTCCCGGAAGCTATGTAGTTAAACTAACTCCAAAACTTATAAGTATAAACATATAATCTATTTTATATATTTATTCTTTTGTCATCACAATTTTACATAATTATAATATTAATATAAACATGATAAATCAGTAAAGAAAATGAGAAATCAAAGATATAGTTGCTAACATAAAATTGGACTACATTCAAATTAATTACAAGATAGGAAATTTTTTTATAAAATTTAATATAAAATTTTATTTAAATAAAAAAGGAAGCCAATCCATGGGTTGCCGAAGGTAGATTAAAAAAGTGTACGTTAAAACAGGCTCCTGTTTTGCAAACATAAACCTGTATCTTCGGCTAGTTGGCAGATTAGACCCGCTGACCCAACTCATATTACCATATTTAGTTAGGCCTAAATTTAATCCTTCCGTCTCTCATGGTCATATTTACCCTATGTCTAGTATGGGAGAAATGTGAGAGGAGAAAAAAATTTAACGAGTTTGATTTAAAAAATTAGAGAAATAAGATTATAAAATTTTAATAAAGAAAAGATATAAAATAAAAGTGTAAGAGCAATTAATTAAAAACTTTTCACCATACTTCAACTCATACATGAATAGTCTAAATGAATATATTATATTGTAACTTACGACCCAGTGAGAAACTCCATAACCACAAAGACTATAGCCGAAGGAGATGACTTGCAATAAAGATGATAAGAAGTGACATCTATATCTATAGAAACAGCAACAATAAAAGCAATACTAAGGGAAATAATAAAAAGGAAGTATATATTTATTAAAAAAAACTAATTACAAGTTTGTATAATTTCACAAGTTACAAAGTAACCGTTTTTTTTCCTTTTTATCATGTTATTAGAATTTCATCTTATTTTAATCATGTCCTTGGAGTTTTTTAATTTACCTTTTCATCATGTCCTCATAGTAGATTAAAAACACTGCATGTAAAACTATAAGATTATGGTAAAAAGAAATTACAAAAATCTTATTAATATAAAATAAAACTATGAATACTTGATAAGCAAAAATCAAAGGGATCTGATTAAGAGTAATTAATTATCACATACGCATACCTTACCCAAAGTGGATGAGAGGCGAGCTGTGGTTGTCCTTTCTAGCTTGAGGTATGAGGAAGTTCTGTAATCGAGAAGAAACAGATTAAGTTGTTTTAATTCATAGCATTTATTATTAATTATTTTAGTTATTTTATCTAAAAACTTATAACTATCAAGAGGCAGAATTTACCAGCAACACTATTGATCAGCACAACTTTCAGATCCCTTGAATATGAAGCAGACACTTCCAAAATCTCTAAGGAAAAGACTCTCTCTCTCTGTTTTTTTTTTTTTTGAGATTTGTATACGAGATTGATCACAATGCACAACAACAGGCTTTGTTCAAACCAGAGGACTTCTATTTTTTTTTTTTTTGGGAGAAAAAACAATTTTATATGTGAACTTAAGAGGAAGAAAAAAGACAACTTTGAAGGGGATTTTTTTTCCCAAATATTTTTAGGCAGATGATTGACAAGAAAACAACAAAGCTGACGCAGGAAATTTTTTTTTTTTTTTTGGAAAAGTAGCTTGTATGTGGAAAAAAGTGAAATAAGTTTGATCTGAAAGCTAGGAAGAAGAAGGATTGAACAGATATATGGAAGATACAACACAAGAATTACAAGTGAGGACTTCTTAGGAAATGAATGTTTGATTTTGAATGATTTCTTCAGAAACTTGAAGGAAACAGTAGAAGAACTTCGAAAAACAGAGAGGGCTGATAAAAGGTTTGAGAAGTGGGGAGCAATCAATATCAGATGGTCCACAACGACAAGAAGACACTTCCAAAGACAAAAAGATTTTTTTTTTTTTGTTTCTCTTTTGAGATTTTTATACAGGATCGAACACAATGAAAAGCAGCAGACTTGTTATAATATAACGCAGAAGATGAACAGCAAGGGGGGGGGAATTCAAACAATTTTTTTTTTTTAATTTTTATGGGTATATGATTGACAAGAGAACAAATTTGATGCAGAAAACAGACTCTTTTTTTTGGGTTTTTGAAAAATAACTTCTATGTGGACGACAAGGAAACAAGTTTGACTTGAAAAATGAAACAAGGTCTGGCAGGAAAAAGAAAACAGAGAAAGAAAGTTGGGAACAAGGAGTGAACAGATATGACAGAGACAAGGAAATGATTTGGAATGATTTGTTTCTGAAACTTGCAAGGAAACAGAGGAAGAAATTTGAAGAACAGAGTGTGCCGAAAGTTTAAGAAGCAGGAGGCGATGAATATCTGATCTCAGTGTAAACAATGGCAATAGTAAGATGTGGAAGAAGAAGATCTGTAACACGAACATATAGAAGAAAGACTATTGCTTGCCAGCACATAAAGGAAAGGGCCTTGTGAATTATTTTGGGGACTCAACTTTATTCCTTGCTTCTTGTCTAGTCCTACAAATTATTCTTGAAAAAGAAAAGTAAAAGAACCATAATTACCTCCATGAAATTTGATCGGAAAGAAAAACATTTGAATGTGAATATGAAAAATACTTTGATGATTAAAAAATTAATACGATCAAGACACAAGTATTCAATTTGATTCTTTAATTATATAAAGTGTCTTTTCAAACTTTTAATCTGAATACTGTTAGTTTCATTAGGTGATATAATATTTTTCATGCATCACATACGCATTAGGGTATTATACGGTTGCTGCCTCTGTATGTATTGGTCATTTCCTAAAACAATACATAATTTATAAATTCAGGTGTTTAAATAAAAGCAAGTTATAAGTTTTTTTTATGGGAGAATTACAATGAGGTCCCAAAAAAAAAATTACAAAACAAATCTTGTTTAGGTTATTATTAGAAATCTTTAGTAATTATTTTTCTTTAGGACATCATTGTAATTCTCCCTTCTTTCATTTATACATAATTGTACTAATTTTAAAATTTGGAGGAAGAACGTATATAAGAAAATTAATAAATAACTATAATTTATATTTTATGTTGAAGAAGCAACGAATATCAAGTTCTCTTGCAACAGGATGAAAACAAGTTATTCTGTGAGGGGTAAAAAAACGTGTAAAGGAAGACTTCAGGTTGCCGACATATAAAGCAAAGCATTGGAAATTGCTTTGGAGACTCAACTGGTTCCCCAAATTATACTTGCAGCTTTTTATTTTATGAAACACTAGTATGTAATTTAAACTAGACATATCAGGCAAAAAAAAAAAAAAAAAAACTGGACGTAAACTTCAGGCCAATATAAACTAACCCTTAACTGTCGTGCGCTTCCGTGAAATTTTGAGAAAAACATTAAAATTAAATCATTTTAATTATCAAGAAAGTAAATGGGTTATTTAAAAACCAAAAAAATAGTTATATCCAACACCCTAAAAATACTTATATCACCCTAATTATTTAAACTAAATTTTATGCATTCAATATCCTCAAATATTTTTAAAATAACACTTCATATCCCAAAATTTTTTTATGCAATTTTGTCTAGAAAGCATTTCTTCTCAATAACAAGAAGCACCAAAAATTTAGAAGTTCAAAACATATTTTTAAAAAAAAAAAACCTCAGCCCCTCACCGGCAGCCAACAACTATCCGGCGGCGGCCATCGGTGTGGTGGCTACCGGTGAATTTCTTTTGTCACAATATTTTTTTTTTTGCATGGGAGAATATTGGTTCAAAGTAGTGGGGGTGAGATTTAATCCCACAACCCCTTGGCCATTTGGGCTAACAAGAAAAAAAGATAACAATTGGGTCATTAAAGACTTATTAACCTTATAATGCAATTACCAAAAAAAAAAATCTTATAATGCAAACAAAAATATAAGTTGATTCTTTTACTGTAACTCCAACCTGTGACAACAATTTACCTAAAGATAACAAGTCTTAATTGAGAAATAACAAGTCTAAATTTGATATTAACAAAATAACTTTTCCTAATACATAACAAGAAGTAGTATGTACATCAATTAAAAATTACCATAATTTATTTGAAAATGACAAGTCTAAACTTGAGATTAACAATGTGTCTTTTTCTGATACATAACAAGAAATAGCATATAAATTAATTAAAAATGACCATAATTTATTTGAAAATGACACATCTTTACTGGAAAATGACAAGTCTAAACTTGAGATTAATAATATGTCTTTTCTTGATACATAACAAAAAATAGCATGTACATCAATTAAAAATGATAATAATTTATTTGAAAATGACACGTTTTTACTGAAAAATGACACGTCTTTAGTGGAAAATGACAATAATTTATTTGGGAATGTACATGTTATCTCTTGCTATGTATCAGGAAAAGTTGCTTTGTTAGTATCAAGTTTAGACTTGTCATTTTTCAATAAAGACAGGTCATTTTCAAATAAATTATGGTTATTTTTAATTAATGTATATATTATTTCTTGTTATGTATCAAGAAAAAACACATTGTTAATTTTAAGTTTAGACTTGTCATTTTCCAGTAAAGACGTTTCATTTTCAAATAAATTATGGTCATTTTTAATTAATGTACATACTACTTTTTGTTATTTATCAGGAAAAGTTGCTTTGATAATATCAAATTTAGACTTGTTATTTCTCAATTAAGACTTGTCATCCTCAGGTAAATTGTTGTTATAGGCTGGAGTCACAGTAAAATAGTCAACTTATATTTTTGTTTGCATTATAAAATTAAGAAGTTTTTGATAGCCCAATGGTTATCTTTCTTTTTGTTGGCCTAAATAGCTAAGGGGTTGTAGGATCAAATCACACTCCCACCACTTTGAACCAATATTCTCTCACGCAAAAAAAAAAAAAAAACTGTGACAAAAAAACTTCATCGGCAGCTGCCACACTGGTGCCCAGCAACAGCCAGTCGCTAGTGGTGGCTGCTGGCATCCGGCTACCGGTGAGGGGCTGAGGTTTTTTTTTTTTAAAAAAAAGACAGAGTATTTTTGTTATTTCATTGAATTTCAAAATTCTAATTTGGGAAGGACTTCCCTCTCTATCATTATATTTCCTTAGCTTCTTAAATTGACATTTCACATTTTTAAGCTTTTTTATGTGTCTTTTTCCCAAATTGTTTCTTATAAAAAGGGGACGGAGGGAGTATCATTTAAACAACTAGGAAAATGGATTTGTTAAACAAGCTTGAAGATAATGTCGACCAAGACAACGCTTGAGTATTAGTTTATTACTGTGACACAAATTAAATCATTATAAATCTAAATTAAATAGCCCCACATATTAAGAAGCTTTCTTTAAAAATAAAAATAAAAAATGTAAACAACCGAAGAATTGTAAAATTGAAAGATATAAATTGCAGAAAAAGAAGAGGCCAAATTAAGACATAAGTTGTAAATAATCTATTACTTGTAAATAACGGAGATGGACTTGTAAATTGTTACAGGAAAATATTGTTAAAATAATCATATTTATTTCATAAAAATATAATCATAGTTAAGTTAATAATTATTAAAATGTTGATAATAATTTTTACCAGCAAGTACTAAGCAGCTGGTCACCCGTCAATGGTTTTAGAAAAAACATGTAATAAAACAAATTTGTGGGACAAAATTTTGGTTCTTTTTAAAAATATACACGATAAAATTCTGTGATCATGACAACAAATGTTGATAAATTCAATGAAACGATGAGTAATTTTTATGATTAAAAATTTATACATTGCACCTCATTAGTCATTTTATAAAATATCATTTATTCAAAAAATATCAATAATCTGACATGCTACTTTTAGATTTATATACACACACTCAAGTTCGTTTCAAAATTACCATACATGATTATTGTGATTGTACTCACTTAAGATCGAGTCATTTGATTTTTAAATTGCAAATAAGAGAATTATAAAACATATAAAAAGTAAACATACCTTAATGCCATTAAATAATGATGTCGCTGTCACAAAAGATGTCAAGTCCAAGTCCTTTGAGCAGAAATCATGAATGACTGGTAAGTGACAGAGACTCAAAGAACGTAGTGAATGAAACTCAATCTTGTTATTAATAGTTATTCCACCATCTTCGTTTTCAATTGACACAATCCTCTTCATTGAACTACATTTCAAAACTTGGAGCTCAACAAGTTGAGAAAGTGCTTTCACCATTGCAACAGAGAAGAGATACGTTAGTTGGTCACAGCTTTGAACTTTGATGACTGTTATTTTGCCAAAGGAATTAATAGGAATTGGGCCATGACATATCTTTACTAAGTTATTGAGATTGTGAAGTATTAGCGTCTCCAATTCTAGGAACAAAACATGGGTTTCATCCCTCTTTGTTGTGTTGATAATATGTTGAAGTTGGCCATTATTTTGGATATGGAGATGCTTCAGTAGCGGAAATCCTTCACCACTCAAATTAAAAAGCACATCAGAAATTCCTTTGACTTCATCTAGGTACAAATCTTCCGCTCGTTTAATCAATGATTTAATTCCATGTTCTAAATAAATGCTAGTGTCAAGCTTTAGCTTTATCAACCTTGAGATCCTTTTGTTGCTTGACCATTCCCATTTATCTCCAATGACAACCTTATATCTTTCTAACTTGTTAAACATCACGTCCCTCGGCAACATCCAAGACTCACGAATTTGAATTTCTAAAGCAGTCAGACTTGTCAAATACCCAAACTCAGCAAGACTAGCACTTTTTTGTTTAGTTGAACTTTCCTCCTCCCATTTAATTGAGGCGTTGCCCATATAAAGTTCCTCTATTTTAGTCAAATTGGACAAAATATTGGGTGGGATAGTCTTAATTATAGAATTGCTCAGATCCAACATTCTCAGACGAGACAGCTGTTGTACTTCGCTCGGCAACTCCTCTATGAATGATTCAATGAGACTAAGAACTTCTAGATTTATTAAATCACCTATTCTGGCCATATGTTTTAGAGTGCAATCATCCAAACATAATGTTTTAAGTTTGGTCAAGGAAGCAAGAGATGTAGGTAATGAAGACATCACCAAGCCTGTCAAATCTAATGTTTCAAGGTTTCTCATTCCCTCAAAAAAGGATTCTGGAATTTCCAGAGTGCAATTATCAGGGTATTGTAAGCAAAAAAACTTCAAATTAGGGCACTCTACTTTTGAGGAAGCTCTTGGATAAAAAAATTTACTAAGATTATTTGAGTACACCTTTCAAGAAATCCCTTGCTTGGCCAATCTTGCATCCTGCCATTTCTCAGCACAAAAACATATTCATTCTTACGAGCAATGGAAACAGCTACTTCGCTAACAAGGTCATGCATTTTAATCACATTGGTCTCACTTGCATCATCCTCAATTAACAAACAAGATGCCTTCAAGTGATCAATTATTTTATATAGTTCGTTTCTTGCCTCTTCAAGGGTATCTATGTACTTCAAAATACCCAAACCACATATTTCAACAAGTCACTGACGACCATGGATGGTCCATGTACACCACAAAGCAAGAATACTTTCTTCATTTCATCATCTTCCAATCGATTGTAAGTAAATTCAAAGGCTGAAAAAACAGTCCCATACATGTCCCCATTATCAACTCTCTTTAAGTTGTTCAAGGCAGCGTTCCAATAATGAATATTCTTATTATGTTTTAATGACTTTGCAATTGAGACTATCATAACAGGCAGACCTGCACATCTTTCAACCACTTGGGTGGCTATCTTTTGCAAATTTGCATCTTTAATAGCATCACCAACTATATCTTCAAACAAACTCCTTGATTCTGCATTATTCAATGCCTCAACAACAAAGTTCTTTTGAGTCTCATTCTTCTGTAAAATATCTAAACTTCTAGAAGTGAACAATAATTTGAAACCCTGATAACTTTCATTCTTCTGTGGCATATCTAAACGTTTAGAAGTCAATGAAAATTTTCCACCCTTAAGATCTTGCTCAGAAGGAATTCCCAGCTTGTCCAAATCAATTTCCTCCCATAAGTCATCTAGTATGATAAGGATATTTTTCTCCTTCTTTATCCTTGCATAGAGACCGTCAGCTCTTCCAATTGAGGTCTTCTCATCCAAGTGGAAGCCTAATTGATATGCAATCTCATTTTGAACTCTTTCAACATCCAAAGTTTGGGATATAGTTACTATAGCCACCACATCAAATAGCTTGTCATCCTTAACATGTTTGGCAACCTCTTTAGCCAGAGTGGTCTTCCCTACTCCACCCCACCCATAAATTCCAACTATGCTTATGGTAGGGTCAGTCAGAGCCAAAATAACCTCTTTCTTCACTGAGTTTCTTGAGTCAAGCTTTTCACTGCTTGGAGTAGCAAAAAGTAAGTTTGACCTGCTAGAAGCAGGAACATACCCAACTCTACCATCAAACTTCGCCTTTTCTTTCAGTTCAGCAATGGTGAATGCCATTTTCTTTGCTTTTCTACCAAGTTGATACCGTGAGATCAAATTAGGAAAAGACCATTTCCAACATCGTATGCTAGCACGAGGTTGGTCTTCACATAGTTTCTCCACTTTTTCCAAGGTCTCATTAACTCTTTTCTGCCAACTTGATACTTCATCTTCAATCTCTTTTCCATTGCTTCTTTCTGCTTCAACATCATGGTCGATGCGAACTTTTCTTTTCTTCAACTCCTCAATTTTATCCTCCAGCTCCTTAAAATTTTCTTTGCAAAATAATAAATATTCCACTTGCCTTCCAATGGGCATCACAGTTAACTCTGCTATTTTTCCAGCAATAGCTGTGAGAACTTCCATTATTACTTCCTAAATAAAATGATACGAAATTTAACACTTCAATAAACAGAAGTCATGGTTCTAAAGAGTAAACTTTGAACCCCCCCCCAAAAAAAAAAAAAGGGATACGAACACAAACTTATACGCACGCCTACAATTGCTTGGCTTTAACTAGTAAAAGGCAGTATGATCAGTTGTAAATCAGACATAGCTCTTACATTGGATATCGAGAGGTCAATTCAAGTTTTGAAGGGTTCAATGAATTTTTGTATTATTCATGGCAGTATTTGTGTCTCAGCTTCCGTCTCTTGTTCCCCAGAAACATGTACCGTTTGCTTGCTCAGCTTAATAAAAGCTTCCCTTTGTCTTGTTTGCAACTGGCGTTTAAGTTCATATAGGATCAGCCCAAAAAAGAAATTGACAAAGAAAGGCACCATTGGAATTTTCGTTGGGTGTGCTATGAACGCGAACTGGGACATGCAAGAAAGGCCTGGAACCAGAATTGCATATTAACCCACACTTTTTTGGGCCAAAACATTGGCCCAAACTGAATTAGTAAAAAATTTCAAAAGGGCAACGGCCCCAGCACATTATATCATTTGCTAATTCGTTAAAGCCTAAATAATTGGAACAAACCACTGTTAGGCCTAAACAAGGTTTTAAAACTCAAACTGGTAGTTGAATCGGACAAGATACTACTACCTCCAATTCTAATTATAAAATCTTATTTATAGTCTATAAACAAAGTTTTATAATTAAAACCGAAGGTAGTAATTCCAAAGTCAACAGTAATAGAAACATGGTTGGACCGATTATGATTATTCTACTGTACCCCACTCCCAAAAAAGATGTGTGTGTGTGTGTGTAGGGATGCATATACAAACCATATGATTTGCTGCTTCAATGAGGCCTAACAAAATGACCCAAAATAATGTTAGGCCAAAACAAGATTTTAAAATTTCGACTGGTCATTGAACTAATGGAGATTTGGGTTACTAGTTTAAGGATCAATGGTCGAACCGTTATCAATTCTTGGTGGACTTGTTATGATTGATTTAATGTATTTTTAACTTTGCGTCTTAAATATTACTACATTAGAATTAACATTTTGTCAAATGTTATTTTACAAAACAAGATGATTCGAGACACTAGCTTAGGAATTAATCGCAGAACCATAATCAATTCATGATCTGGTTATAATTGATTTAATGCATTTTTAATTTCATATCTTAAATATTACATTAGAATTAACACTTTGTAAAATGTTATTTTACAAAATTTTGTAAAACTTCACAAGATTAAATTTATAAGATGAGATTAATCATAGGTTTGCAAAATTACTCTAAACTTGTTTAATATCCAAGAGCACAAGGTAGAAGATGACAACTTATTAGGCAACTTTAGGAGGTATTAGGCAATTTTAGGAGGCTTATTAAAACTAAATTAAAAAAATTAAAAAATATATATCTAAATAATTTGAAGTAAAAGTATTACATATTTGTGCTTACATTTTGGGGGGAAAAAAGAGTTCAAGATTAAAACAAAATAAATCATCAAAGATTTAGAAGTGAAAGGGAAAGAAATGAAACAGAAGGAGAGCGAGCGTTATACGCAAGTCTCACATCGAGTATGTCAAATAGAACTGGTAATTCAGCTAGAACTCAATGATCCAATCCAAATAGGGTCGAAAAACTTTAGAACGAGCCTCAATTTTTGGTTTTCAAAATCGCGTTTTTTGGACTAGCTCAAAGTCATGCCAAGTCCATTCAATATGTTGTTTAATTAATGTCCAATTTGAGTTGAATATTTAAGTAACTTAAATGTTTTGGTTTTTACTGATTTCAGAGAGGTTTTTCTCAAATTGTTATCACCTTCTTGTTACAGTTTATTTTCCCGATATTTTGTTTGTTTTTAGGTTCGTTCTTGATTTTCCGACCTTTGCCTCTCTTCCATATCTTTCCCATCAGTCATTTACAATTAGGCCTTTAGGGCTGGCCTAAATAAGCTCAAAAACTCTGTGATTCGGGATTATTTTGGTAGAAACCAAATCATAGTTTTAAAAACGTACTTACGGTATATAAAATAAATATGTGAGAAGTTTGTCTTGTTTTATGAAAAAAATATTTTTTTTAGAAACACGTTTAATGGTAGTCAAACACCCCTCAGTATATTTTTTTAAACCTCATGTCTAAATAAGTGTTTTCATTCAATTTACAAATGAAAACAAATTCCATATATAAAATAAAATTCTAAAACTATCTGAGACTAGCTCAGGTCAAAATGGAGTTGGGGTATAGAGTAATTTTAAATGTCGACTAATTTTCAGCCAAGGAAAAAAACACAGAGAGAGAGAGAGAAAAGGAAGATTTAAAAAAAAAATTAAAAGGACAAGTACTTACAGTTCGACAAAGAAAAAAATTCTAACTTACGCATATACTTTTCCGGTCCTAAATATAAGACTCTTATACTAATGTATATAAGAGTCTTATATTTAGGACTGAAGCAGTATATCATACCTATCAACTAACATTCTCACTATGCGTGCCTTCTCATTTCTAATTAATAGACATTTCCCCTTAACCACATAAAGGTAATAAGAACGGGCATTTATACCAATAGCAACACTAAAAACAATACTGAGGGAAATAATAAGAAGGGGCATCTATAGCAACAGCAACAATAAAAACAATAGTAATAAGAAAGGCATCTATAGAAAAGATTAATTTTTATAAGTTCTTATAATTTCACCTGATTTTTAATTAAGTCTTTGTAATTTTCTTCTTCTTTTTATTAGGTTTTTTTATCTGATTTTAATTAGATCCTCATAGTTATTTTTTCCCTTTTATAATATTTGATCTAAAAAAACTACATGGAAACCTATAAGAACATGATTTAAAAAAAAACTACGAAAATCTTATTAAAATCAAATGAAAATATAAATACTTGATGAAAAAAAATTAAAAGGACCGGACTAAAATTGTTAATTTTCGCCTGCACATACCTTAACCCAAGCGGCTGAGAGGCGAGTTGCGGTTGTCCTTCCTGCCTTGAGGTCTGAGGATGTTCTGTGATTAAGTATGCAATTCATAACATTTATTATTAATTATTTGATCTCAAAACTTAAAAACTATAAAGAGGTAGAATTTACCAGCAATACTATTGATCAGCACAACTTTGTCTCTCTTGATTTTTTTTTTTTTTGATATGTTTATGCAAGATTGATCACAATGACAAACAACAGAATTTGTTCAAACCAGACGACAATTTTTTTTTGGGAGAAAAAACAATTTTATATGTCAACTTAAGAGGAAGAAAGAAAAAACCTTTGAAGGGAATTTTTTTTTTAAAGATCTTTTGGCAGATGATTGCCAAGAAAACAACGAAGCTAGCGCAGGGATTTTTTTTTTTTGGGGGGGGGTTTGAAAAGTAGTTTGTATGTGGAAAACAGCGAAACAAGTTTGATCTGAAGACTGGGAAGAACAAGGAGTGAACAGATGTATGGCAGACACAAAGCAAGAACTACAAGTCAAGAATTTTCAGGAAATGAATGTTTGATTTGGAATGATTTGTTCAGAAACTCAAAGGAAACAGAAGAACAAGTTTGAGAAACAGAGAGTGCTGATAAAAAGTTTGAGAAGGAGGAAGCAATCAATATCAGATGGTCCACAAGAAGAAGAAGACACTTCCAAAAACACAAGAATTTTTTTGGTTCCCTTTTGAGATTTTTATACAAGGTCGAGCTCAGTGAAAAGCAACAGATTGGTTATAATATAATGCAGAAAATGATGAGCAGCAAGAAAAAAATGTTCGAACTTTTTTTTTTTTTTTTTTTTTTTGCTTTTTAAGATTGTTATGGGTATATGATTGACAAGAAAACAAATTCGAGGCAGAAAACTGACAAAGTTTTTTGAGTTTTGAAAAGTAGCTTATATGTGGACAACAACGAAACAAGTTTGACTTCAAAGATGGAAACAAGGTCTGGCCAGGAAAAAGAAAACAAAGAGAGAAAGTTGGGAACAAGGAGTGAACAGATATGACAGAGACAAGGAAATGACTTGGAATGATTTGTTTCTGAAACTTGCAAGGAAACAGAGGAAGAAATTTGAAGAACAGAGAATGCTGAAAGTTTAAGAAGCAGGAGGCAATGAATATGAGATCTCAGTGTAACAATGGCAGTAGTAAGATGGGGAAGAAGATGATCGGTAAGACAGACACATAAAAGAAAGACTAAAGCTTGCCTGCGCATAAAGGAAAGGACCTTATAAATTATTTGGGGGACTCAACTTTATACCTTGCTTCTTGTCTAGTCCTACAAATTATTCTTGAAAAAGAACAGTAAAGAACCTTAATTACCTCCATGAAATTTGATTTAAAAAACATTTGAATATGAATATGAAAAATACATTGATTATCAAAAAATCAATAAGATCAAGATACAAGTGTTCAATTTGATTCTTTAATTATATAAAGCGTCTTTTCAAACTTTTAATCTGAATACTGTTAGTTTCATTAGGTGATATAATATTTTTCATGCATCACTTATGCATGAATGTATTATACAGTTACTGCCTCTGTATGTATTGGTCATTTCCTAAAACAAACATGTAATTTTATACCACTTTCGAGCCTTAATATAAGACCTAATTGACTAATTTGAGAATATTAAAAGAATTAGTTAAGTTAGTTATTTGTTATAAATAAGTGTTATCTAGAATATCCTTGCTAATCATGTGTATTAGCTAGCATTACCATTTAATAAAACATTTAACATGTGTACTTACTATAAGAAGTACTTTGAAAAAAAATGAATAAATATAAACGACAAAGTGAATTAAAATCTTACATTTAGAACCAAATTAAAAGTCAAATAAGCTCTTAAAATAAAGAACAAAGGTAGTATGTTAGTAACATTATATTAAAAAAAAATTTAAAGCATTAATTAGCTTTATAAATTCATGCATTTAAATAAAAGCAAGTTTGTAAGTTTCTTTCATTTATAGATAATTTTAATATCTTTCCTTAGTTAAAGTTAGGTACTTAAAATTAATTTACACGGAGGAAGAACGCATATAACAAAATTAATAAATAACTATAATTTATATTTTATGTTGAAATTTGAAAGACAGAGGGCTAGAGTTTGAGTATTTAGAAGCAACGAATATCAAGTTCCCTTGCTACAAGATGAAAACAAATTATTCTGCGAGGGAGAAAAAACGCGGAGAGAAAGACTTCAGGTTGCCTGCACATGAAGGAAAGCATTGGAAATTACTTTGGAGACTCAACTTGTCCTCCAAATTATACTTGCAACTTTTTATTTTAAGAAACACTAGTATGTAATTTAAACTAGACATCAACTTCAGGCCACTAAAAACTAAACATAAACTAACCCTTAACTCTCGTGCGCTGCCGTGAAATTTTGAGAAAAACATTAAAATTAAATCATTTTAATTATCAGAAAGTAAATTAGTTATTTAAAAGCCTAAAAAATGGTTATATCCAACATCCTAAAAATAGTTGTACTCAGCACCCTAATTATTTAAACTAAATTTTATGCATTTAATTTAATATCCTAAAATACTTTTAAAATAACACTTCATATCCCAAAAAAATTTTATGCAATTTCGTCTAGAAATCATTTCTCCTCAATAACAAGAAGCACCCAAAATTTAGAAGTTCAAAAAAATATTTTTAAGATGTTAAATACATTAAAAATTCCCTATGCTACTAGAAACACATATACAGTGATGCACCAAAAATTGGTTTAGAATATTGGAAACTGTGGAAAGAATATTTCAAAATTCCAGATGCTACTTAACCCTTGTTTAAAAAAGAAAAAAAAAATATCATTATGAACTCTCAACATGATATTCATTCCATAAAATAAACTCAGGTGCTCGTAAACCATGAGAAATATAGCACGTCAGAGAAGAGAGTAAAAGACATATCCATGACAATCCTTTGACATCGTAATTTAGAAATCAATCAACCAATTCACAAACGAAGCAGATATAAATATAAGTGACGTTCACCCACTTCGCTAACATTTGTATTGTGCCAATGATCTCATGCCCAATAGAGCCCCCCACTGCAATATTCAAGCCAGCAACTTCTACAGCTCATTGCTCAGAAAAGCTTAGCGTTGGAATGAGATGGAATAGGAACCAGTGTTCGGATCTTGAACAGCTTTAAAGTTGTCAACGCTCATCCCAAAGCGGCCCAACAAAGAATTGCCCATGTCTTTCAGCTTACCTGCCCCAAGACAAAATTGTGTTAGCAAAGGGTCAGAATGACATAATGTTGAAACAAATGCCACGTAACTACATTAGTATAATTATATACTGATCTTTAGATGTAACAGATAAAAGGCCTGTTATCTAATTTTTTTGACAACCAATGTATTGTCAGCTTATAGAAAGGAAAAATGGATCCGAGGCCATCACATTTGTATCCAAGGTTAACCCCAAACTTTGACCAAAAAAGGTTAACCCAAACCAGCCAACTAAACTAATTAGTTAATTTTTTTTTGGATATCCAAAAGGTTTAGGCCAACACCCATAAGACCAGATCTGCATAAAGTTCCTCCCCCAGGATTTTCAATCAACAAAAGCTTGCCCAGTGTCCATTGCAAAGAACACAAACATAACACATCCTGAGCGTTCGTTGAAGAGCAAGACTTCAGGATCACATTTAGGCGTTGAGTAAGATGAGTTACGCAGTAGATCCATAAATTTGCACGATGTTTAAAATTAGTCATCAAGACCACTTATAACTGCCAATTCACACCGCAGTGCTAGAAAATTATCTTGACATTAGGCAAGAACAGATCCCATTGTTAGAGCAAGCCTATCATATCATAAAAAGGTCTGGTTTCTTTTTCCTTATTTTCCTTTTCTTATTCTTTTTTGATTAGGTATATGAGAATTTGGAACTCCTAGTTATAAGTAGAAATATTTCCATCTATCTGTTGCAACATCTTCCCAATATACCTTGGGACCATGGATATCATGCCATGTCAATTTTTGCGGAAGGAGAAAGAAAGAGAACAGGCTGCAGAAAGTCATATTGCATAATAAATTACAAATTTCAACTATAAAATAAGAGCAAACATCATAAAACAAAAAGCTTTCCATCCCGACAGATCAAAAACAAGAAAGGAAAAAAGAAAAGAAAGAATTACCGATCATTTCTTCCTTCATCTTTTCCCGCTTTTCTGCTGCCAGGGGTTCCAATCTCCGGATGGTTCTCCTAGCTTGATCATTTGAGGGATCAATTTCTATGATCTTTTTCATATCTGCCAATTCAAAGAAAAAAATTGTTAAAGGCAAAGAGTTAGATCAAGTCCAACAAGCAATAAAACTGTAGATTAGTATCCCATTAGTGTTTAAATTAAATACTAATACAATGCGAGCTAAAGCATATATTAAGGACAGCACCACAATATTCAATAAGATCACACAAAAAATTGAACGCACCAGCAATGGCCTCTTCAAAATGCTCAAGTTTTTCATGTGCCTCGCCTCTTCTCACCAGAGCTTTCAGATATGCAGGATTGAGTTCCAATGCCTTAGTGCACTCTTTGATTGTGTCCTCATATTTCCCCTGAGGCAATTTTCTAGGTGTTAAATTAAAATCGCCAAATCAAAAATTTAAAGGAAAGTGGCATCACACTTGATTAAATACAAGAGTGACACTAAGATATCATAGTTGAAACAAACATGCAAATTTGTGAGACAGCCCTTCTAATCAACACAGATGTGATCTAGTCTCCACTCTTATGGTCTGAATATTACTTAAACAGACCACTTAAAAAAATGGTTTAGACTTCACTCAGGCTGATCCAATTAAGTAATAACCATCTAATTTCCCATGTAATATACAGTATTTTTGAAGACTGCCCCCATTGGATATCCACAGAGAGAGGCAGAATTGCTGCTTGCTTAACATTCTCTTTCCATGTATTATGTACATTTTCGTTCTGAAATTTGTATTCTATGGAAGATACCAAATCCTCTTTACATAAAAGAAATAGAGTAATGAATTCCAAGGTTAGGTTTTCACAAAAAAGCATTCAATTTTCAATAAAAACTTCTTCAATAAATCCAAGACAACAAAAAATCTTCATCAATAGCATAAGCAGTCAAATAATACCTAATACCTACTCTTCTAAACCAGCATTCAACAGATCACAGACACGGATGAGCATGGGAGTAAAACCGACTTTGCACATCAATTCATAGTTCAGAAGTTATTTGTTACTTAGGATGGCCAATAAACAAGATACGGCATTACTTGGTATAAGATGTCCAATTATTAGCAAGGTCAAGAAACAAGATAAAGAGCACTGCATTTACTTAAACCGCGTGGAAGAGCATAATACAAGAATGTGCTCATGATTGCAATAATTTGAAAAGATAAAGAAGCACGTACCAATTTCATAAAGCATACAGCACGATTTGAATGGCATATTGAGCGTACTTCAACAGATGAAGGCATGTCTGGGGCAATTTGTAAAGCAAGTTCATACTTTGATAATGCCTCCTCAAATCGCGCATCCCCAAATAGCTTATTTCCTTCTAATTTTGCATCATTCGCTTGAGCCAATGCTTTCTGCTAGAGAAAGTAATAACACTCTGTTAGTGTTTTTTCTTTGACATAGAAAATATCCAAACGATATTCTTGAATCATCAGCAAAATAATACCGGAAGATAACTGATGGTTCATAAATTCAGCTATTGATTGCAAATGCATTATGCCAATCAGTTTTGGTTAATTAATTCGGTTATTAATTAATGAAATTAAATACGGGCAAATTAACATTCACAAAAGACCAAGCTTAAACAGCACCATTCCCCGGGAACAAATTTAGCCGCTTTAGCATCCCAACACTTACCTCTCCATCAGTTTGTAATTTTGACCTCAAGCAACAAATTAGAAAGGGTCATGGATGATATAAATTGTCAAATACTCCAGGCAGTAACACCTATGAACAAGCTCAAAGTCTTCCATAATCACATGATTACAGATTAGCTTTAGCAGCTTGATATTCAAAAACTTTTCAGATTTAATAGCCCTGGTAATTTTAAATTACCTCATCAATATGGATATGTCCTGAAATACCAATTCTACAATTTGTACCGCACTATCACATTAGTTAACAATATGATTCAAAGAGTTGAACAAATCAGTAATGACCAAAAATTTCAACCACACACGAAAAAGGGAAATGTCAAAAACGCAATTAAGAATACACTCAAAGCCGCTAACTCAAACCTGTTTCAATTCCTCGTCGTGTGATGCCTCTTCGGAAGACTCAGTGCCCGGAGGAATCCCAACCTCCTGATCTTGATGTTGTTGTCCCCGTTCATTATGCGTATCCTCTGCGTCGCTGCCGAGCTCGGTGTCGCTAGCGGTTTCAAAGCCATCGGAAGCTTCTTTATGGTCATCGACATGGGATGAAGCTGACGATTTTGCAGTTTTTGCAGATTCAGAGGGATTCACGACTTTCCGTTCAGTCTCAGTTTCTTCCGGTTGGATCACAACCATTTTGCAGCCTAGGGGTTTATATTGCGATGATGGGAAAGAAATAGAAAGCGATTTTCAGTGCAACTACGAATTTGCACGTAACCCTCCCTTCTTAAAAATTTATACGATTATCAGACTCCGCTTCCCCCTTCCAGAACCGTCTCGTCGTCCACCTACGATGGAGCGAAGCTAAACAAACAGGAAATATATCCAAAACATATACCATATTAAAAAAATAAAAAAGATTTATTAATACTACTTTTAATTCCTTAATATAAGAGTAGTTGATTAATTTGATTAGATTAACAAAAATTTATTAAATTAATTATTTGTAATAAATATGTATTGTCTTCCCTAAAATACTTTTACTAATCATATTTATTAGTTAAAACCATCATTTGATAAAATATTTAACATATGCAACCGCTACAAATACTACATTGAAAAAAATAGATAAATATAAAAGACAAAATGAATGGGATCTTATTTAAAATCAAATTAAAAGCTAAACTAACTTTTATAGTAGGAACAGGAGGTAGTAATTAGGATCTTAATCCTAACAATTTTGTTTTTTGGTTGTTCTTTTTGAATAAAAGGCATGTGTTATTCATAGTTTCATACTAACATGAATGAGTATTATGTATGATTCAAAAGCTATAATTGTTTAACACATGCTACCTTCGGTCCCATTTGTAAAATATTATTTGTAATCTATAAATTGGGTCTTATAATACTAATAAAAAAAATAAAGTATTAGAATTAGGACTGAAGGTGGTACTTTTTTTTTTTGGTCAAATATAACTTAAATTAGTGATAATATGACATTACCACTCTCGATTAACACAAGTTTAATTAGAGATGTTTTTGGACATTAGGCGGAATTTAATATTTTCTACCTTAAATATGGGATTTAAGGATTGGACCACCATCAGATTTGACTTGGTCATATTGGGTTTAGGGAATACGGTGGGCTTTTGTGGCCCATGAAATACGAGCTTTGGAAGGAGGGAGCCACAATATGGGCCTTCAATTCACAACCTTAGCTTCTTGGTTTTTGACCTTGATTAATAACCTTAGGTTCGAATTCCTGAGAAAAGTGTTCACATTTAGTGCCCAATAATATCTCGAATAGGATTACCTCTAATAAAAGGATACCTATATTTTAGCAAAATAATAATAATAATAATAACCTTAGCTTTAAAAAACGCTGAAATTTGATCCAAAGGAATATGGACTAATCTGGTTTATGATAAAACTTATTATCCTGAGAATGCTTCCAATTCCATTAGGCCAATTTTGACTAAAACTTTTATCTTCAGGAACAAAAATTTCTGACTTAGATGATTTAGCACCTATTTTAATGTGAGAATCTCGCCAAAAAAATTTTAAAATTAATAAATTCTAAATCAAGTTTAGTAACAATATTTTAATAAGTTTTGTCACAATTGAATTTATAGATAACAACACATTTTTATAGAAATTTTTTTATCTAAAATTTAGTAAGTTCAAACTCATTATTTTAGATTACATTAAAATCAATACAAAAGTCCCTAGATTGTAGTGTTTTATGTTTCGACATGTGAAAATGGGTACAGTTGTTCCCTTTATCAGTGTTGAAGATAATGCTAATATCATGCAAAGGAAAACAACCAAAATATATTATATACATATCTAAATCAAATGATTCAGGTACATAGATTTTGCTCCATGCATTTCGCAATATACTACCACGTTTAGCTACCCAAAAAAACCAAAAACAATATTATCAGCGCCAAACTGAGGGAAATAAAACTTATTTTCTTTTTCAGTACAGCTTAAATTTATTTTCATTAAAAACTACTCCTCCAGTCCATAATATAGGATCTAATTGTTGAGTTGGTTTTAATCCAAAACATAGGACCCATTTATCATATTTATCAATTTTCTCTAAATTATCCCTATAGATACTCTCTCAACCATAATCAAGTAAAAGAAGAAGATGGAGTATTAAGAAAGATGATGATGGTATTTTAGAAAAAAGCGTGTCACATTTTTTATAATTAACCAACTTATTTAACTTTCTTAATCTAATCAAATTAATTAAATGAGTCTTATATTAAGCACCGGAGGAGTATTTTTGAAAAGAAGGGATAACAAAAAGAAGAATTAATTCAAAATAAAAAATATTGCTACCTTCGATTCTAAATGTAAAAGCCAGTAGAAATGTGCTTTTCTTAAATATAATATCTCAATTTACTTTGTCTTATAAATTTATAATTCTTTTCCCAAACTCTTTTTACACATATTAAGGGGTATTTATCAAGTCATCTCCAATGTAAATAACTATAGTAATTATTTTTTAAAAAAAAAAGGTGACAAATTTTTTACAAATAATTAATTTAACTAATTTTTTTAATTTGTATAAATTGGTTAATTAGTTCTTATATTAGGATAGGAGGTAGTATACCTCAACTTCACATCTTATAAGTCAGAGTTGTATCAAATTTAATATAGTGTTACTCTTAGATTTACACGTGAAAAAGATCAAAACACATTGTTCATCGCATGTGGCCATAAACTAGTTTTTAATAAGAGTATTTATTCATTGACATTTCCAACCTTGAATTTGTAATTGTTCTGAAGAAAAAAAAAATCTTTTCATTGTTGGAACTCTATTAGGAATCATGATAACGAGAATTTGATTAAGCAAGTGACTTTTATAATACTCCTCCGGTCCTTAATATAAGACCCATTTAACTAATTTGATTAGATTAAAGAAGTTAGGTAAGTTAGTTAATTATAAGAAATGTGACACATTTTTTCTAAAACACCATAATCATCTTTCTTAATACTCCTCTCCCTTTTTATTTGATTATGGTTGAGGGAGTATTCATAGGGGTAATTTAGAGAAAATTGATAAATATGAGAAATGAGTCTTATATTTAAGACCGAAATCAACTCAATAATTAGGTCCTATATTGAGGACTGGAGGAGTAGTAAATCAGAAGGTTCCAATTAATGTCTGAGACATTAATGTTAGTGGAATAACTTGGTGGGACAATAAAAAAAGAAAGAGTGTTGGCTATTGAAACTTGGTCAAATTAAGCACCAACTTTATGTATAGTGGCCTAAATCATCATAAGAATCACCTTGAGAGGAAAATGCTCACACACACACAAACACCCAAGTTAAGTGCCAATAGTCAAACCCTAATTCAAGAATAAAACAAAATTCCATTTTCTTCTTGGCTCTAATACTAACAGACCCAAGCAAAATGCAGAGTTGCAATTTGGTCGGAAAATATTTAATTTCAAGATTAATTTTTTATTATTAAAGAGTTGTGGTTTTAAGCAATCTCATTAAAAGTACTCGTTAATATATACTACCTCCAGTCCTTAATATAAACCTTGCTTGATTTTTATTTTGGTCCTAAATATAAGAATCCAATTGACTTTGTCTCTTATATTTATGTATTTTTTTCCCAAGTAGTCCTTCCAACAATGTAGTTCTAGCCAACACACTTAATTAATAAGGATATTTTAAAAAAGACACCATATATTTATTACAAATAACTAAATTAACTTCTTTCATTAATCTCCTCAAATTAGCCAACTAGTTTTTATAATTAGGACTGGAGGTAGTATTAAGGATCGAAAGTAGTAATAAGAACTATTCAAATTGTCACAAAATGAACAATTCAGATACCTGATATCTTGTATTAAGTAAGCTCCAATATGTTCGTGTAAGTTGACAAATAAGATGAATGGGTATATTTTATATTTCTATTACCAAACCTTCTTTTTTTTTGTTATTCTTTTTTTTTTTGTTATTACGTAATTTATTATCATATGTAAAATAATATTTCATTAAATAATTACATAAAGTAATGCTTTATGTGTTTACTTAATGAGTATGATTACGATATTGAATCTATTAGATTCATGTATAACATTTAATGATTCTTAATAATAAAGCATATTAAAATTATAATTAGAACTGTGTTATGGGGAAAAAAAATAAGATCAAGTAATCAACATTCAATAAAGTCAAACAAATAAACTTCTAGAGACTCCATTGTCACTCAATGTTCTTTCCTTCTCAAGAGTAGGTAGAGTCAGAGTGGGAAGGAGTTAACAAGTGTGAGAAAATGAGACAATATGTGTCACAAAAGTCATTTTCATTCTAATCCTTGTTCCCAAAAACCAAATAAAATAAAACTATAGAAGCTCCTTAGTGATAGATACGTGGTTCCAAACATTTGATCTTTTTTTATTGTTGCAATATGTTTTAAATATTTAACATCAATGTCCACTAATTTATAAGTGAAATGTACATTTCATATAACATTCTGGTTCTAATTTTAGTGGAAGCGTGCCAAACACTTTGGACAAGTGTTAGCTTGCTGACTCTTTTAATAAGCATGCTTAATTTTTTTGTTTTTGTTTGGGGATGAAACCTTTCAAATATTGGTCTTTACCTTCATAAGGCTTTTCATTTCTCTTTCCATGCGCACAAAAAAGGATATAACCGGTATAACTGAATTAAATAGAAGAAATTCGATCATTTTTAAATAATATCTTAAATTCAAATTTTAGGGGGAAAAGTATATTAAAAGAACTCTTTTTATTCGTACAATTAAAAAAAAAACTCTCATTAATCCAAATTACTCCAATTTTCTAACTTTTTGTTAGAATAATGAGTCGTTTTAAATTAATAAGGAGTAAGGACTGCCCAATCAGTCTGAATGCTCTGGATTATTTATTCTTATGAAAAAATATTGAATACAACGAAACCAACTGAATTAACTGAATATCATGCTTTACTTCTTATAATTATTATTGTTATTGTTATTATTATTATAGCCCCTCCAGTCAGGAATATAAGACTAAATAAATAATTCATAAATTTTAAAAAAATTAGTTAAATTAATTATTTGTAATAAAGATGTGTTGATTTCTCTAAAACACCCCATACTTATTATCACATTGATAAAAGTGTCCTTCCATATATACAATCGGTAGGATACCTTGAGGAAAAAAATATATATATAAATTTGAGAGATAACGTGAATTAAAATCTTTATATTGAAAACTAAAACAAATATCTCAACTAATTATTTTTATATTTAGAATGAGAGAGAGAGAGAGTAATAGTTTTTAGAGATGATAATGACATGTAAAGAATTCACGCACCA